GAGGGCTTCTTGGAGGAGGAACCAGTTTCCAGTGGATGATGGTGGAAAGCACCACCATCAGCCCCGAGTCTGAGACCTCCAGGTCACCTTGGAGCCGGTGGTCTGCACCAGCTGCACCTAGTTGTCCCCTCTGTTCTGTGACTTTGCTCTGCCTTTCCACCCAGCCCTGTGCTGGTTCTGGCCCTGCCCTCTACCCGGTCTCCAGGTCCCTCTCTATAGGCCCCCGTCCCTGTCATGTCAGCTGGAGTCACCTGGGTCAAAAACACAAGTCCACCTGACTGGCCGTGCTCACACTCTGCCTGGCTTCAAGCCCCAGCCCTTCTAGTCCAGCCCAACCCTGCTGACAGCCTCCTCCGCCCTCCCCACTAGCACCCTGTCCCCTGCTCCGGCCATCTGGGGTCTACTCCTTCCCGAGCTGCTGGCCCTGGCCTCCACCTCCTGCTCGGGCTGTTCTCTACATTTGTGCGCCTGCAGAGTTCTGCTCACCCTTTAAGTTCTGGTTCACGGTCACCCCCTCCAGGAAGTCTCCCCAGGCTGCACCCAGAGTTGGTCCTCAACCCTCAAGAGAGACCCCAGGTGGCCCTTGGTGGACAGTGGTCACTGTGTGTCCCTTGCCCACCAGGCTGTGCTGCTCCCTGGCAGCGACCAGTCCCACTGATACTTGGGGCTCTAGGGGTGGGCAGTGATGGGCAGGCTGGTTCATGGGGGTGGGCGAGTGCCTGTAGGGGTGAGTGAGCCAGAGGCCGCCTCATTCCTGCCCAGCCCAGGCCTGGCTGAGCCCCTCTGTAGAGTCCTTTGTGACTTGCTCTCAGCAGGGCCAGCCAAGGGACACCCCAGAACTTTCCCAGCTCAGGGAATGAGGTGGGAGGCAGGGGTTCCTGGGGACAAGGAGGCATTGTAGCTGTCTGTCATAAACACAGTTGCTGCCAAGTTTGGTGGAAACGTGGGCTCAGCCCAGGGAGATGTGCCGATGTGGGCCGAGGGCCCAGAGCCAGCGGGGACCCCTCTCAGAACTAACGGCCAGCCCGAGCAGACCCAGGGTGACTGGGCTGCCCCTGCCTCCAAGCCCTTCAGTGTAGGGTCTGGCCCTGTGGTCCGGAGGTGGGTCAGGGGCCCTGGAGGGGCCAGGTCCTGATGTGGGCCGTGGCCAGTGCACAGCGCCCCCTGGTGTCTGCCCACTTTCCCAGCTCGAGTGTGGGAGTTGAGGCCGCAGGCAGGCACGGGTGGGAGAAGGGCTGACGGGGAGGAGGAGAGCCCCGTTCTGGGGACGCTGGGCCCCGCTGAGACACCCCTGGCCCTCGGCAGCTCTGGACACATCCAACGTGATGGTCAAGAAGCAGGTGTTTGAGCTGCTGGCCGCCCTGTGCATCTACTCGCCTGAGGGCCACACCCTGGCTCTGGACGCCCTGGACCACTACAAGGTGAGCGGCGGGGTGGCCGGCGCCTGGGTGGGGCCTGGGTTGCACCCTGACCCCAGCCTCCCCGCAGACGGTGTGCAGCCGCCAGTACCGCTTCAGCGTCATCATGAGTGAGCTCTCCGACAGCAGCAACGTGCCATACGTGGTCACTCTGCTCAGCGTGATTAATGCCATCATCCTGGGCCCCGAGGACCTCCGCACCCGCACCCAGCTGCGCAGCGAGTTCATCGGTAACCACGCCCCGGGCCTCTGCTACAGAGTCCCCTCGGCCGGCCCGGCCCGCACTGCCCTCTCCCGGGAAGTGCCCCGCACCCCCGACCCCCCAGAGCCCCAGAGGAAGGGTCTGTTGCGGGCTTGGGAAGCCTCTTGCCCCCACCTGCTCCCTTTGGTGGCCTTGGGGCCTTCAGGACCCTGGGCCTTAACCCTGGAGGGCTCCGTGCAAGGCTGACGGGGCAGTGGAGGGAGGCAGGCAGCCTGACCCCCAGTTCCAGCAGTGACCACTTAACGAGCACCGCTGTGTGCCCTCTGGAGCCTCGTGTCCCTGTGTCCCGTGGGAATGGCAGAGTTTCCGTCCTACTCCACGGCCGGGTGCTCCGGGTGGTGGGGCTGAGCCCCGGGAGAGGGTGGAGGGGAAGGTGTCAGAAGGTGCAGGTGACCCGGGGGGCTTGGCCAGAGCAGCCTCCGAGGCCCACTGACCCCGTCTGTCCCTTCCCAGGGCTGCAGCTGCTGGACATTCTGACGCGGCTGCGGTGAGTCCCCACTTGCCTGGACTCCCCAGAGCCCGGCGCCCTTCCCCCTGGGTCCCGCTGGAGCAGCCCCTCCATATGGGCAGGGAGGTGCTCTAGGAGTAGCCCTGAGGGGTCACCCCCTCTAGGGCCAGGTCCCAATGAGGACCCAGCTGGCCATCCCTAGCACTGCAGGACATGCTGCTCTGCAGAATTTCTCTGCCCAGGGGCTTGGCAGCTGCCCCTAGAAACTAGGGTTGCCAGGTACACTCTGGGACAGCCAGTTAAATCAGGTCGTAGGTAGACAAGAGGTCATTTTTGTTGTGTAAGTATATCCCAGCTATTGTGTGGAACATACTTAGGCTAGAAATCCTTCATTGTTTATCTGAATTCCAATTTTATTGAGTACCTGGTACCCATGTAGCTGAGAAGCCCCGTCCCAGGCCTCATCATGATCACCCCCAGGGAAGTCAGCTTGGTGGAGGCGGGGTGCCAGGAGGAGGAGCTGAGGCTGGAGGGACTGGTGCTGAACTGGCCTCAGGTGAAGGTCAGCTAGGTGCTGAGGGGCCTGCCCTGCTGCTGAGGGCACAGCTCATTGGCCAGGCTGAGATGACTGGCAGGTCCTGGGCCCAGTGAACGCCCAAGCTGCTGCTGCTCAGACCAGAAGCCTTGTCCCTCCTGGTGGAGGACCCCCTCTGGTGTGATCTTAGTGCTGCTCTCCCAGCACCCGAGGAGGGCCTTCCCCCCTATCCTGTGCCACCTCCAGCACGTTCTCCTCATCTCTCTCTGCAAGTGTGAGAGCTTGCTCTTTCCCTTCCCAAGGGACGTAGAGCTGCCCTCTGACCCGTGGGCAGCCCAGTACGGCGCCAGGCTCAGACCTGTGAGCCCGCCACCCCTGACCAGAGAGGCCCGCCCCGACAGACCACGGCCGACCCCTGGCTGCGGTGGCCACATGCCGGCCACAGGCCCAGCTGGGTTGTCTGGGCATCTGTCCAGGGTGGGGGGAGGCTGGTGGGAGCAGCAGGCTCAGCCTGCCCGGGGCCCTCCCACCTCAGAGATCTGGAAGACGCCGACCTGCTGATCCAGCTCGAGGCCTTCGAGGAGGCCAAGGCCGAGGACGAGGAGGAGCTACTACGTGTCTGTGGCGGCATCGACATGAACAGCCACCAGGAGGTCTTCGCCTCCCTGTTCCACAAGGTGGGCTGAAGGTGGGGGAGCCCCTCCAGGGACTCTCTCTGGGAGGAGGGCCCGTGTGGGCTGTGACCTGAGGTCTGGGGCCAGAAATAGCCACCTTCCCTGCCTTGGTCAGACTCCCCGTGAACAGGGTAGTGGGGCCAGATCTGGAGCCAGACTTGGGGAGCAGCAAGGGGTCAAGGAGCTGGAAAGAGGAAGAGCCTGACTGGGCAGACTGGGGGCTGGTCTGGGCTATCCCCGGGACAGAGCCAGGGCCCCAAGACACAGGAGGACAGGATTCCAAAGGCCAGGGCTGCCCGGAGGTGGCTGTGCTGTCCTGGTCTCCAGCAGAGTGGCCACCATCAGGTGGACTAAGGGGGGCTTTGGGACCAATGAGAGGCCAGGAGGCCAAGTTCAGTCCGGTTCAGACCCTCCCTGGCTGGGACCTCCTGTCCTTCACTGAACCCGGTGGCTCTCAGCCTGGGCGAGTGTCCCCAGGGGGCATCTGGAAACATCTGGAGACATTTGAGGTTGTCACAACTGGGCAGGGGTGCTATTGGCTTCAAGTGAGTGGTGATCGGGATGCTGCTAAACGGTCCCACAGTGCACAGGGCAGCCCCCAACACAGAGTGAGCCGGCCCCAGATGTCACCTGTGTGGTGGTCAGGGTGCCCTGACTCAGGGCCCCTTTGAGGCACAGAGTGGTGATGGGTGGATGCTCCTGGCAAACCGAGGCCAGGGGTTGTCAGCCCGCCCCAGGGAGGGGATGGCTGCTGACAGCCATTCCTCATTGGCCCCACCTAGGTGAGCTGCTCCCCTGCGTCCGCACACCTGCTCTCCGTGCTGCAGGGCCTCCTGCACCTGGAGCCCACCCTCCGCTCTAGCCAGCTGCTCTGGGAGGCTCTGGAGAGCCTGGTGAACCGGGCTGTGCTCCTGGCCAGTGATGGTGAGTGGGCGGGACGGGGGCAGGGGAGGGGCACCCGGCCCACATCCTCCTCCTTGACCTCAGCCTGGTGGGCAGACACTGCGGTCTTAGACCGTGGGGGGAGGGTGCCCATCCTTGGCCCCTAATGCATGCCCTGCCTGCCTCGTCTGGCCCTCTGCCCTGACCCTGGATGCCCCCTCACAGCCCAGGAATGCACGCTGGAGGAGATGGTCCAGCGGCTCCTGTCCGTCAAGGGGCGGCCCCGCCCAAGCTCCCTGGACAAGGCCCACAAGAGCGTCCAGGCTGACCTAGGCCTGAGTCAGAGGGGCAGCTCCCCCCAAAACACTGGTGCCGCAAAGGCGGGGATGGAGGACCAGCAGCCAGCGGAGGCCTTCACTAGCCTGCACGCTGTCAGCGCCCAGAGCACCAGCGACGTGATGGCTCCACAGCCCACAGCCCTGGAGCAGCCAGCGCCCACCCCCCTCCCGCCTGCACCCCCCCTCCCCAGCTCCACC